TTAAGAAAATGAAACGTACGAAGAGCAACCTATGTAGATTCTCGACACCAAAGAACAAGTATTACGTAACAAGGTCATACCACTTGTAAAAGTGCTATGGTAACATCATGGTGTTGAAGCAGCCACGTGGGAACTGAAAACAGATACGTGTAAAAAATATCCGTATCTTTTAATTCTCAAGATTAGTATCGAATTTCGGGGATGAAATTCTTTTTAAGGGAGANCACGTGGGAACTGAAAACAGATACGTGTAAAAAATATCCGTATCTTTTAATTCTCAAGATTAGTATCGAATTTCGGGGATGAAATTCTTTTTAAGGGAGATAGATTGTGATGACTCATATATACATAAATCATTAACACATTAATTAGGTCATCAATTTTGACTTTTATATAATTGAGATTTATTTATTTTAAATATATATATATATAAATATATAATAATATTTTTTATGAACAAATAGACCCCAAATATAAACTCTTCACATAAAAACGAGTCAAATGACTATAAATTAGGTCAAGTTTCATAACGAATAAATATATCTATGTACATAATGAATGAATAGATATATATATATATATATATATTATAAATATTAGAGGACATGAACAGTAAAAAGGTGCATTAAAAAAAAATGGTGAAGCAATGGACAAGTGTCCATAAGATGCTTGGTCCCCAAGCAAGCCTTGGCTATAAATAGCCAAGCCCAGTACATGGAACGGCACAGCAAGAAAAAAACAACAGAAAGGAGGAAGAAAGGAAGGGAGAAAGAGGGAAAAGGGGTCAAAATTTAAAGGAAGGGATAAAGAGAGAAAAGGGGTCAAAATTTTGTTGACCTAAGAGTTCGCGGTTGCTATCAAAATCTTCGGTAAGATTTTTTAGTTATTATTTAGTAAACTTTATAGGTTCAAGTCTCTTAAAGTTGATCCTCATTAAATATTTTTGGATCAAATTTAAGTATCATTATTTTTTATTAGTTATTCCAAAAATTATTTTAGTTTAACTAAACTCTTATTACCTATTATTATTTTAAAATATTATTTTAATTGTTTTGTCACAGTACATGGTGTCGATTAGAAGTCAAGGTAGAGGTAGGATTTTTTTTATCTTTTACTATCATTGATGCATTTTATGCATATTTGAGGATTTTATATCAAATCTATTTTTAATTATATAATATAATATTATATCGTTATAATCATGGGATCAAACTGGGGTTTAATAAATAAATCGTTATCATGCACATATTGTATTTTTATTTATATCGAGACCCTAATTATCTTATGAAACCATGTACCATAATAAATGTTTATTTCATTATTAATATTTAATGTTTGATTTGTTTTGGGGTTTGACTACGATATGACTTTATTTTGTGATTTTAATAAAATTACTATGAATGTACATAATCGAGGGCAGAGGGTTAATAGATGTGTGATCCTTGCGAGGATTCACAGGATCCCTACTGGTCCTTGGGTTCACCGGTTAGTAATATCGGTTGCTGTGGTAGCCTGTATGACACCACATAATTTTCGGTATTAGTGTTTCTAGAAAAGCAAGAATGGTATTGGGTTTTTTAGGGTGCAAAACCCCAAAGTTTTCTCTGAAGGCGATTCATGCGTGGACTAGAAAATTGACGGATTGATATGATCGATATGTGCTGAAATTTATTCATTTATTTGATTCATTACTTTACCATATTCTTGCATTTATTTGTGGTTTAGCTATATTATACATTGCTTTAAAACCTTAGTAGTCATTGATAAGCGTTATCCTACTGACCTGGTGAACTCATCCCTATCTAACATTTTTCAGATATATGAAGTCGGGCTGAAGGATAGGCTGAAAGGATGATGAAGAGAGTCTGGTATTATTATTTCTCTTTATGTTGTATCAAGAATATTTAAAATGATCTTGTAAAGGATTATGTACTCGTACGCGGAATATAATAATATAAGGAAGGTTATCATAAGTTCGGTGTGATTTTATTCTTTAATCATGCCCGGGTATTTATTTATTTTTTTTTAGAAGAAAAAAAAATCGGGACGTGACACATTGTCTAAATGAAACCATCAAAAAGGTAAAAGGAAATGCAGACGTTGAGATGGTGGCAAAATACAATCAACATGAGATCGAAAAAACAAAATCAAACACCATGGAAACTGGCCATCATCTCTTATTTTCCATAAACAAAAAAAACCAAAAAACTACGAACCCAAGTAAACTAACCTCTGCTTCTGCGTTAATTTTTTCTTGGCGCAACTTTTCTTCTTGAAGAGTCTTTTCCTTTTTTTTAGCCTCTTCCAGAGCTGCATCATCTCTTATTTTCCTTTCTTCGATTTGGGATCTGTATTCATGGTCCCTCTGGACAGCAGTCAAGTGATTATCAAGCGCTTCTGCACTACAGTAATTCACATAAAATGTCAATAAGATATTCCACAATTCCAGCAACACCATACCAACTTGTAAATCAAATATGACTAGGATTTAGCCTTCCCATTTTTCGCACTGGCTAGAGAAAAATAACTTTGTTTATCAAAACATAAAATATCTCAGTCAACACATTTTTCAGACTTTTGACAATCAGCTAGAAATTTTACAAGATATTATGCATAGATTTACATCTCTTTCAGGAAAGTACATTGTTGTTATCTGTAAAAATTACCAAACCATAATATTTATTACTGTCCTTATTTTATCATTCCCCAAGTTGAAATGTTAACCTCAGTTCCAAGCCTAAGGAGGTATTTTGTTGACAGTAAATTATTTTGTTGTTGATCAAGAGATTCACTATTCATCTTGAATGGTGGACCTTGATCTCTCTACCTGTTCCTTTATGCAGGAGAGAAAGAAAAAGTAAAATAGTTTTATACAAGCACGTTTAACAATATGGCATTGGCAACACTCATAATTCAAATCCATAGGTCATTGTCGTCTTGACCTAGATCACTTCAAAATAGTATACAACATAACAAACAGACAATATTCATAGTCATTTGCATATATCACAATGAATAAAATAAACAAAACAATAGGGTAGAACTAGAACACTGGATCTTACATTCTTCGTTGATACTGCATGTCAAGTTTTCTGTCTATCTCTCGTTGTGCTTCGGTATATTTCTCAACACGAACAAGTGCAGAGGTGAACTTCTCATTTTCATTAATCAGATCTCCCTCCAATGCTAATATTTGATTTCTAATTTCCTCCTGCATATAAAGATAAAAGCAAATTATGCACTTATACACAAAAATCAAAGCAGCAAAGAACGAGTCTCTGTTTGTGTGTGTGTGTGTGTGTGAGAGAGAGAGAGAGAGACAACTGAAGATGCATGCCAATACTCAAAGTATGGAGAACGGCAAAAGATCCATATCCTATCATCACTACAAGAATTATTCTCAATTGTTGTACTGCAAAAAGAGGCCACCCTATAGCAGGTTGTATTGCTTTATTTACTTATTCTTTTGATGTGGTACAGCGTAAAAGAGCAATACCATAAGCAACAACTATAAAGCTGTAATTTTGTCATCAAAGATATCAAAACTTCACTCTTGCACCAAGTCCGTCTCTCACTCACTCTCTCTCTTATTTTGTTTGGACAAGTTACAGAGTGTGAGTGGAAGAACCATGGAGTTGAACCAAGAGAAAAGCAATAAACTTTTTGCAAGTCTTGTGGTGCTAGACCCTTACACAAAGCCAGCCAACTAACTAAACACCTTCCACATATCCAATATAGGCATTAATGAGGAATCGTAGAGGTAAGATTTTCTAACCACTTTAATGCAGCATCAGCCAATCAGTGTCTTATTCCCACAATCACCAATGACGGGTTCAAAGAGTAAAACATGAATGTTTAGCGTCTCAAAATTACTTTTCAGTAATAGAAATCAACTAGAAAAATGTTAACTCTTAAACTATTCAGTTTCAAGGCTTTCACAGACGAAAGAAATTACAAATAGTTAATAATGTTGCACACCGTTATGCTAAGCTGATGTTCATGGGCTAACTCAGACAGTGCACCTTCCACTAAGCCCACTCTATTCATCAATTGGAGCTGGGTTCCAAGAGTCAACTCATCTTCAGAATCATCACTGTCACTGAAATTAAGACAAATTCGGTAAGCACCCAACATTTCAGAACTGTTGTTATGAACAACACTTGTAGAATAAGGATATGAAATATCAAATGTCTATTTGACTAGTAGAGTCTCATAAGTGAAATCTAAGATTAAGGTGTCTCTACAATCTACTTTATCGTTTTTCATTTGAACTTCCCAGAATCAAATATGAGGGTCCCTTTACTGTGGAGAGCTCCCACCAGAAATTACATACAGAAGAAAAATTTTCAAAAGCCATGCAATTACAGATTTTTTAGACAAGAGACTGTACAATTAGATTAAACAATAGAGTCATACTTGAAATCATCATCTTGGCATGTTTCAGCTGCAGAATTTTTTTTTTCTTTTTTTGGAAACGTATAAAGCACCACCATAAATGTCCAACTGGGGCATGAACCCCCTTAAGGAACCATTATAACTTTTAACATAAAATTTATTAGTTCTTGCTCTTGTTTTCCGCTCTTAGATTTTGTTCTCATGACATTGTGCTATGAATCATATAGAGATTTTACATGATATAAATCTCTAATAAAGTCATTGGCAAAAGGACTAAATAAAATGTTGCGAAAATGTCTTCAAGCTTGTTGTTATGAGTTGGAAAATATTTAAACACAATTCTTTGAATGAATATACACGAGGTACGAGGTACGTGCCGAAAGATCAATTCTTTGACCACATTTTACTATAAAATTAACTAATAGGCAAGGCACCTTAAATAAAGTTCATCACAGGCGAATCGTCTACTGGCAACCAATTGCCGGCCATGAGTCTCTCTTTCCTCACCATCCCTTTCTAATTCCTCCATTTCATCATCTGAGACACGCATTACGAATGCCCTCGGTCTTCTTTCATTTGCCTTAGCAGCTGGAAATTTTCTGAACAAGAATCGGTAAAAAAAAATAAGTAAACAAAGCATAAATTGAAAAACCAAATAATTGCCAAACAGAAGATACATTAAATATTATTAGAAAACAAATAATAAACCAGACACAGTACCGCAACTCCATTTTGGTGAAAGGTAAAGAAAATTTTGAAGAAGAATTAAGCTTCTTTTCAATCGAATTGAGCTCTGACAAGAGAGTATCAAAACTCCAATCCGGCTGAGGATCAATTGGGATTCCATCAACATTCTGAGGACATCGAAGTTCCAATGTAATAGTTCCCCTAACATGCAAAAACTCCATAAAGAATTACAATTTTACAAAGAAAACTTGAAAGATTATATTAACAGATAGAAAACGACTAACATTGGTAACTCGTGAAGAATGCCTTTAAGATAAATGCTCGAGTTAGTGTTCGCTTCAGACACTCAATGTGGGAGAGTGACAATTAGACCAATCATGTAGAATTTCCTGTAGAACACGAGCGTTTGTAACTATCCAGATGAAATTTAGCAGAATTGAGGTACGAACCTAAAGAATGGAACTGTAAAACCTTAATGCTAAGTAGCAAATTACAGAGAGGAGGAAGATGATCTGAGGGGGAGAGAGGCAATTGAAGCTTGAAACTAGCGCATATATAGGACCCAAGATTGATCCCAGGCGTAATAATGTTGGTCTAGATTTGACCCTAAATCTGAGTATTATCGTGACATTGTCTAACCGATACATTGAATACTACTTAATGCACACGTGCATTGCACGTGAACTATTGACTTATTATTTTTTTTGAATTTTAATTTTAATTTTTACACCAATGTGTTATGTGGCCAAATTGTCATTGAAAGACCATACATTGAATAAAAGCACTAAGCTAGAGTATAATAGCTAAAGTTTAATCGAAAATAAAAGCTTATATGTATTCTTAACAAGTTTGTGGTGACCATAATGCACTTTAACTTTGTTGAGGGAGATGGCGAATCAAATAAACAGTAACATGCGGATGTAATGCACCACATGTCTTTCATGTATAGCAATGCTCCTCGAAACATCACTAACGCAATTTTGAGCAATAACACTCCAACGTATGCTTCAAAAACCTAAAACCAAGAAGACAAACACATAGTTTTAATTCAAATTAAGCCTTTCAAGCAACATGGTTAATTATGTTCCTCATGATGAAAACAAATATATAATTATCTCTCCCTAAATTTGGATCCCCGAAAAGAACGTAGCAACACAAATGTGTAGAGGCAAGGGTCCAATATGGTATATGAAAGTAATACTTCACTAAAAAATTCTCACACGTGCTGAATGCATCATTATGCATAGGTCAAGATCACAGCTTCTTTATCAGCTACATTACCCTTTCTAGAAGTTCAATCCTTGACATTAATGTTCTATAAACGTACTCTTTATGCAAGAAGTGGATACTCTTTAACTATAGTTGATTGTGACTTCCAAAAAAATTACTCTTCATTCCAAATTCGAAATAGAATGTGTACTTTAAAGGCATCCTATTAGTGCCAAGAAAATAACCTTGTAAAAAAAAATATAGAACCCATGACAAGAAGACAAGACCTTGGCAAGCATATCATTCATTCGCCAAATTTTCACTTGGCGATCATCTGTTCCAGAAACAATCAGAGGGAGAGTGGGATGGACTGGAATCCAATTGGCTCCTTGATCATGGCCCTCTAAGACATACTTTACAACAATATCAATACACCAAAAATTGTGTTCATCTGGCTTAACCAAAGGATGTCATTAGCTGTGGAAACTTTTTTTTTCTTCAGTGCACCAATATATCGAACACGAATAGTTTTATCCAATGACACGGAAACAACCAAGTCCTCTTTGGGATGGAACAAGCACACATCACATAATAAATATGTCAATTCAACACATAAATACAACTACGGAATTGCCAGTTCCACTCACAGTGAAATTAAACTGTACACATTTAATCAAGATGTCCAAGGGTAAAGAAAAACCTATGCAACTTTTAGTTCCACACCTTGATCTTGTAATCATCTCCTGCATAAACAAGTATTTTCATCAAACAAATAGCTCCCTCATGCACAAAATGAATAAAGCACTTAAAAGCCTATTATTCTTTTCTTTTTTTTTTTGGCAAGTACATATATTGCAAACATGAAGTATCTATGATTTTTTTTATAAGCTAGTCAACTACATTTTGGGCGGATAAAATGATAAGGGATTCTGATTGTTGAAGGCCTTGAAATAAAGAGGAAAAAAAAAGCCCATTAGATTCTATCTCAACTCAGAGAACTAAGGGAAATGGAGAGAACATGTCATGCTTTATGGAATTTATTCCACATGTCATGCTTTATGGAATTTTTAACCAAGCCGGATTGTTGTTAATGGTGGACTTTAGAGGTTCATGGTTTCTCAGCTTCCAAGTACTAAACAACCTACGATTCAAAACCAAATTCAATTGATGTTTTTTTTTCTATATATTTTATAAGCAATCAAACAAAGGGTGACATGGTATGAAAGTTTTGTTTAAGGATAGTTCAACGAAGCTTTATTTGTTATTTTTATTTTTAAAGTAAATCAATCTCATGTATGTATAGTGGGCTGGTTGCACCCTCATCCTGTAGGCAACATACATCTCCACAATAACACTACCCCAAAAAGCCACAATTTTAGTAAACTTTGATGTTCACTTCATGATCCAAGTTTGACACATGCTCAATAAAAGATATAATTTGTAAATTTTTTATATGTGAGTTGTATTCTAAGGACATGACCTGAAAAACATATGTTGATGTCTCTGGTAAGTTAAACAGAAAAAGGGTATTCACAACAATGGGAGAAAGGCTGAATTTCAGTAGTAATACATGTCACGCATGAAATATGAGAAAATGAAATATGTCATAGGTTGGTAAGAAAATTAAAAATAGTAGATGTTATGCAGCCAACAACCAATACCCTCATATATCCCAAAAAAAAAAGTATAGTGGAAGTCAAAAACATTGGCTAATAAAGAACTACCCATATGTTTAAGCTTCGAAATATCAAAACCAAAACAAAATGTAAATCACAATCACAAGTTTTATATTGATTTAAGATTCCCAGATAATTATAAATTGGCATTTTAAGGGGTCCCTCACCAAGGAATCAAGCAAGAAACGCATGGCATATTTATAGTTATTTAGTATATAAACAAAGAAAGCTGCTTTTATCAATTCAAGACATATTTAATATTTTCCTTGTTATGTTCAGATGTTCATGCCCTCTGTGGTATACCTCTATTGTATTTCCATTACACTTGGGACATCAAAAATGGGTGTGGGCATATTTTCAGACTATGTGTCCACACAATTTACCAATTAGAGTTTTGCACACACTTCAAGTTGATATTTAACAACTTCAATCCAAGGTAAGATATCACCTAAAATCAATACCTACAACAAATGAACCAGGGAATTTTTTAGGTCCACAGATTATGGAAGCCAAAAACTTACGAAGGGGAAAAGAAAATCTAGGAAAAAAATGACCCCTTTAACACCACAAAAATTTAATGACCAAAAAAAAAAGGTTAGAAATATGAATTAATGAGGACAGCTTGGTCAATTCAAACACAGCTGCCCAATTATTCTCATTCCCTAAAGTTCCAGAACAACATTCGGGAACATCTTTTTCCCCCAAAAGAAATAACATGAGTTCACAAAAAGCCCTTTCCTCCCCCACATAACACCTACAGAAAAGAAAAGGTAATAGAATTCTGAAAAACCAAAACACAATAAAATCACAAAAAAGTTTCACACCTCAATCTATACATACAAATGGTCCCAAGACCAATACATTTCTCCAAATCCAATATTACAACCCTCCAAATAACCAAAAAACATCATAAACATCTCAAAAACCCCAACCCACTTTTTACATATCCTTTGCCTATATAATTAATATCTACATTTTTGTTCAAATTAAACAAAAAAGCAAATGGACACTTTGATTTATATGCTTAGATTAAAACTTTCGTACATTACAGAATTGTGATTACATGGTATTGAAGTTTTGTTGACTAAACAATAATCACTGTATATAGAGTTCTAGTTGTGTTTCACCAAACTATATAGAACAACAGTTTGACATCAATGAGAAGATTAGGGCTATCCTAATTGACTGGCTAACTCGCTAATGATCAAATATTACGAAAAACCTAAATACAACAATACCCACGCAGGAACTAAAAAACATCCCCTGAACAACTGAGATACATTACCTGCAACTAAAATTCATTACCTGATCAAGCAATACCCGATGGTTGCGCATTGCCAATACACAAAAGCTGGGGGCGTCCAACAGTGAGGGGCAAAGTAGAAATGTGTCAATTGGCAGATGACGGTACTTATGAACTGGGAGGATGTCAATTAATTTTGTGGTGGAATGTGTATACCCACAAACAGAGCATTAAAAGAAAGAGGGTAGGGGTTGTAAACTGATTTATGTAATTGCAAAGAGAGCAGGGCATTCTAATCGTTAACTGAATTCTACAATTGAAGAAGTCCTTAAATCGCCGCTAGAAAAGAATTAAAGGGAGAGAGGTGGAATACGAGAAGGAGAGGGGGAATATGGGAGGGAGGGAGGGAGATTGTAACGGCTGAAAACTTGAGTGCCGAGGGCAAAACACTGAGATTCATAATTACGGCTGGGTTTCAAATATAAAAGCTAGAAAGAGCCCAATTGGGATTTTCCATCTACGGAGATGGGTCAAAATCCGAGTTTACCTGTTTTGGATTGGGACGGGCTGCTGATCAATTTTCCGGGTCGTTGTAGGCCACCGATCACTGCTGGCTAAACAGGTGGATGGATTGTCCGATGACAAATTGACGAATCAAAAAAGAGAGAGAGAGAGAGCAAACCAATATTATCAGAACTGAACCGGTCATCGAACCGGGAAGGGAACCGTGTCAATGGTTCATTGATTCAACCGTTGGGTCAACTGGTCGGACCGGTCATATAATAAAAAAATAAAAATATATATATAATAATTATAAAACTTAATAATTTAGCTAAAAAATATAAAATATGTATAATTTGCCATAAAATTAAGTGACAAAGTGGGGGTTATTGTATTTTAAAGCAAAGTAAAGGGGTTCAAGTAAATTATAAAGAAAAAGAAAGGGTATCATTTATAATTTATCCAAGAATAAGGTTAAAAAAAATTAGCTATTTATTGATTTAAGGCAAAAAAATTTATTTATGTAACAGTTTTTGTTACAAATCAGCCGATTCGCTTCCTTAAGCGGTTCAACTAAGGAACCAGACCGATTAGGGTCCCAGTTCACAGTTGAACCGGTCCGACCTGCCGGTCCGGTCTGGTTCTGATAACAGTGGAGCAAACACACTGGTAGAGTAATGTTACACAACCTTTCGAACCCAAAAAAAAATGTTATACAATCTAAATGAAACTAAAAATATTATAACTCAAATATATATCATCTTTTGGATGAATTGATCACACTTCTCTTCGATTCAAAGTGAAGTTTTTTATTCATTTAAATAAGGTTCGGTACAAATTGTATGGTAAATTCAAGAAATCATGATCAAGTCTTTGCTTTGACATAGAAAGTGGCGTGACTCCCAGATCGACAAGTGTAAAATTGTAGCCGTTATGGAGTCCAAAGGACGCCGAGTGGAGCCGAGAGATGACGGCTCATATGAGCCGAGTACACAAGCTGGCACCCGCATTTAATGCGACTTGACTACTCATTTATGGAGATGTGAGTGACGGAGATAGTATCATTAACGGGCCTCTACACCCTCAAAAGCCTAAACTTGCAGTCATGATAGCTAGACATTAATGGTTGATATGCCGAGAATGCCTCCTTAGTGCGCCTCGAGGTACTGTTTCCCCCGAGCATTGATCGCTCAGTAGTAGGTTTCAAGCGCCGGTCATAGACACTTGAGTGCTTAGGAATAGCCATAAGTGTTTGGCATGTCCCTAAACACTCGTCCTATCATCCTAACATTAAATATGTGAAGATCTGGGTGGAGAATATTCAAATCTTCGTAGGTAAGAGTGTCAGGCATTGAATGTTCAGATGAGACTTGAGGTCTTAGCACTCATTACTATTCCCAGTATAAATATTCCTCAGAAAAGTGAACAAAGGTACGCAACATTAAACCAAGATACATATACATTGTGCTCAAGCCTCTAATCAAATACTGACTTAAGCTTTAGAGGGGATAAGCCGAGTGTTCACCCGACCCCCTTTTTCTAACCCTATGATTGTTACAGGTTCACCGACAACAGGTTGCTATCTCAATCTGTTGCAGGAATTCTCCTGTGTAATTTGGCGCCATCTGTGAGAACCTTACATGAACATTTCCCCGTAGCGATCGTATTATGGTAAACACACGATCTTAGGGTGAAGGGGGAGGAAGTTTGTGCGTGAGAAACACGAAGGCTATCCAGCTCCCAGTAGTTACAGAGTCAGATCCCTTGAGCCAGTCAAGCAAAAGGGAGCAGTCCTCTTAACAAACCTTCCCCGTGGATCAAGGCCTTAGGGGGGCAAGGCCTTTTGGCTCGTGATATTGTTGAGATGGTTGAAAAGCGGATGAGCAAGCACATCAAGAAACTCGAGGAGGAAAACGCTAAGGTTCGACGACAGCTTGACGATTTTGAGCAGTCAGGGAATGCGATTTGGCGAAGCTATGAATGAGAGAATCGAAGTCTCAGTCGTGGCTGCTCTAGGGGCGCAAGGCAAGATGCCCCAGGGAAGGGCTTGCACGGGCGCACGCCTGAGAGGCATAACTATTGAAGCTGGAGGCCAGCTCCCAAGAAGAAATCAAAGTGGGATCACAATGCGGGCCTGTCCCTATGGGATCTCTGCTATGGAATATTAGGAGATGTCATGGCAGCCAAGTCTCAGGTGGAATCCACGGCGAGAAGGCCAAGAGAAGGAAAGCCCCAAGGGGATCCCCGGGTGCGCCTCCATGATACCCGCCACAGACTCGAGTCCGAGGGAGATATAGACAAGGATGAACAAATTGTCTCCCCATTTGTACGGGCGATCAGAGAGACTGAAATGCCGAAGAAGTTCACTGTCCCACGATTCAAAGTTTATAATGGGAGGACGGACCTCGAGGGTCACTTGCGACAGTACAAGCAGTTGATGTCCATTTATGACACTGATCAAAGGATTTTGTGTCGAGTTTTTCCCATGAGCTTGGGGGATATTACCATGAAGTGGTACGAGAACTTGGCCCCTAAGAGTATCAGATCTTGGAGACAGATGACTGAGCTCTTTGTGGCTTGATTTATCACCAACAGTAAGAAATCGAAGGACATCGGTGCTTTACTGACNTCAGATCTTGGAGACAGATGACTGAGCTCTTTGTGGCTTGATTTATCACCAACAGTAAGAAATCGAAGGACATCGGTGCTTTACTGACACTCAGACGGAAAGGTGGAGAGTCCCTCCGATAGTACGTCATTCGGTACTGGGAAGAGGTTAACGAGGTCGAGGCGTGCTCGGAGGCAATGACTGTGGCATCATGTAGGCTGGGATTGTCCCAAGACATCAACCTCTATAAATTACTTACTAAGAGGCCTCCAGGGGACATGAAAGATCTAATGGCCCGGATAAACAAGTACGTCCGGGTGGAGGAAGAATCCAGCACACCCGAGAATAGGGGCCTGTGCCGCGAAAGAGGGAGAAGGAGCTTCCAGTAAGGAGGGGGCACTCGTGCTGCCCCGAATCGCTTGCCCTTCCAAGGGTGAATACGGTCTTCAAGGAGCCCATCTACAAAATACTGCACAAGATAAAGGACAAGTTTTACTTCAAATAACCCCTTAAGATGCAAGGAGACCCGTCAATAAGGGACTCGACGTCCCAGTGTTCTTATCATAAGGACATTGGGCATTTGATAGAAGATTGCAGGGTGTACAAGTCCTTCCTGAAGCAACTAGTCTGAGAAAGAAATCTAGAAGAATTCATTAATAGAGGAACTCTCAAGGGCTCGTCAAGGGGAGGTGCTGAGGCATCTTATGAGGCAGCGCCCATGATTGACATCATACACGCCTACACCGTCGAAAGGCCAACATACAATTCTCTCCGAGCAAAGTTGCGAAAGGTCTCACAAGCAATAAAGGTGGAGGAAAGCAGGTAAGAGGAGCAATCATCTAAGATTCCACGACACGATACCGAGGTCATTCACTTCTCTGACGCCGAACTGGGCAGGTTAGTGCTCTCGCATGAGAATGTATTAGTGATCACCCTACGGATCAACAAGTATGATGTCAAAAGGATTTTGGTGGACTCGGGTAGCTCATTCGAAGTGATGTATTACAGTCTATTTCACAAGATAGGATTCTTATAGAAAGACCTGAAACGTGTAAGGGCCCCCTCATAGGCTTCAATGGTTTCAGCGCCTCCTTCTTGGAAAAATCACTCTAATTCTCCATACAATGCCATTATGAGAAGGACATGATTACATGTGATGAGGGTTGTCCACTTATCCTATCATCAGAAGATCAAGTTTCCCACTCCGAGAGGTATTATTGAGATCCGTGGTGATCAGACATCGTCAAAAAGTTGTTTCTACACTACGGTAAAAATTAGGGTTAGTAGTCGAGGTCAAGAGCATGATCCTGAAGTAGTGGTTACCAAATAGCAATCACAGTTCGATCAGCCCAGGTGGATGAACCTATTACAGAGCCAGTAGATCGTTCTACTAAAGCCCTAATCAAAGTTTTTCTAACCCTAGACAATGAGGAGAGGTACTTTTTGGTAGAGGCATCGCTCGACATTGCTGAGAGGTCCAACGTGACTTTATTCCTATGCCAAAACGCTGACATCTTTGTATGGACACTGGCTGAGATGACAGGAATAAGTGCCGAGGTGATAACCCATCGACTTCACATAGACCCATCCTTCAAACCCGTGAGGTAGAAGGCTGGGAGAACGGCACCTCATCATGTGAAGGTCGTAGATGAAGAGGTGGACAAGTTGTTGGGGGCAGGCTCCATCAAGGAAATGCAGTTCTCCCAGTGGCTATCCAACACAGTGTGTGCCAAGAAAAAGAAAGGAAAATAGCGAGTTTGCGTGGATTTCACGCACTTAAATAAAGCATACCCCAAGGACAAGTATCCACTGTCAAAGGTTGATCAGCTGATAGATACAACTACGGGCCACAAACGTATCTCCTTCATGGATGCTCGGACAGATTACCACCAAATTCCTTTACATGAATTAGATCAAGAAAAAATGGTGTTTATTACGCCCCAATGGATCTATTGTTACACGGTGATGCCGTTTGGGTTGAAAAATACAAGAGCAATATGGCCTGAAGCTCAATGCCTCAAAATGTACTTTCAGGTGAGCTCGAAAATTTTTTTGGGATACTTGGTCACCCACAGGGGTATTGAGGCCAATCTCGAGTAGATACAGGCTGTGTAGAACGTCC